CTTGATGTTTACTACGTATTCTGATATCTGTAAAGAAGCCACGGATTCATAGGATTTATTCTTTATACACTTACTTTTCCAGCTGATAGAGCTCAATTACAGCTGTTCATATCCCTTTTCGGAATTAAAATCCGACGCTACGTTCTCCTACAATCTAACAAAGATTAAATGTTGATTGCTGTTTATTTACATACACCTTAATCCTGCAACCTCTTTCAGATTTCCAATCGAACACATCAGTTCACTATTGCCCAAGACGTACAAAAAACGTTTCTATTTCTGAACTACTCTGAAAGAACTGTAGAAATCAATCTGTTAAGAAAACAAACTTAAACAATTGAAAAAGAACAATGATTAAGATGGGATGACAGATATGGTAACGTATACCCACTTTAAAACATGTTCTATACATTGCAAGGCATAGTGTATTGTACTGAAGATGGTGCATACATGCTACCGTCACTGAAACGCATTAAACCTCTCCGCGACTGGGCTTGAGTTCTGGTTGATAAGAAGTGTCCCATGCATTACGGATGATCAATCTCTATCAAACAAGATTTTGAAAAAGCAACTAAATGAGTCCACTTTCATTATTCCAGTCAACGGGGGTGTAAAAGGGTACAGATAATCCAGGTACGATCCTTTCTATGGTAAGGACAAGGACCATCTGGCAGGCAGAATCCTCGGTTACCTAAGTTGTTATCCTTGTAAAATATAGTTTTTTTTTTCATCTTTCTTTCTTTAACCATTGACACTCTCTCATCTCGAAACAAAGCAAATATCATATTTTTAAATCTGATACCCACCATTGTAAGTAGGCGTAGAACGATTTTAGATAAATCTCAAAATAGGATACGTCTCGAAAAAATCATTGAACATTGTTTTCTTCAAATAAAACAACCTACGTTTAATAATACCGACATAATGGCGACTAAAAGCTGGCATCAATTATGGAGGGCCATTCTCGACAAAATCCATACCACTTATTAAAACAAACCAAAGAGACACTTCGATTTTTGGTATTGATTATTGCTCTTTTGAATGTCAACGAATCGTTTTTTTTCTTGTGAAAATCTGACTTGAAGTGTCATACACCATCTTGTTAATTAAAATAATGCTCGCTTAAAGGAGTTTTATCCTCTATTTAGTTTAATATACCTTCCTTTTCACCTGCAATCCAACTACCAACTACCACGACTACCAACAACTACCTAGTTTGCAATATCAGCATCCACTGGAAGCGAACGTAAACTTATCATCTACCAACCAACCTGTATACTGAAGTTGCAATATCAGCATCCACCCGAAGCGAACGTTAACTTGTCATCTACCTACCGACCTACCTCTTTTCACCTGTAAAATGCTGAAACAATATCAGCAACAGTCTATCATTATTCAGTCGTTGCATAAACAGTTTGCTATGTCTTATTTTCTCATTTAGGCTACCTTGCATTTCCTAAAAAGTAACCTTTCCTTTACAATCTGTTCGAGAAATTTCAACTCTGTGTCAAAGAGTGACACTAATATGTGACTAATATTATTCCTGGAATATTCAATTTCGATCGGTCTCATTCCCCCTACTTTGAAACTGATTGGTATGTGGTAATATCCGAAATATCTACCACCCCCGAGTTGGTAATTCGACATCGTATTTAATTGTTAATGTGACGAAAATGTGAAAGCAGTGTATCGCTCAAGGCTACAGACCGATGTTTTATTAATCGTTCAATAAAAGAACCTAATCAAGATCCTTTGATGTTAAATTACTTCTATTGTTATTAAACTACTACGCAGTGTTGAGTTTAACGCAATTATTGTATGTTGTTTTAAAAACTTTAAAGGAAATTGTAAAAATATGTTGATTTTAATATGAAAAAATGTTGATTTCGAAATGTTCATGGATTTCACAAGTTTCGTGTGTGTGCTCTTATCTACAAAACAAACCATATGTAGAGGCGTGTTGGTTGGCCGATTTCTATTCACGTGACATCATGAATAGTTATTACCAAAGCCCTATGTGTATATCTTAATATAGGGCTTTGGTTATTACCTCAGTCCGTAAAGTGAAACCCGATAGAAATATGTAATAGTTTTGAAGAGACCACGCATTGATGCATAGACCCATACAATCATTCATTTTGTTTGGATACGAAATTTATCGCATGTATTCAAAACTCATTACCCCAGAGGCATCTGATTGTTGTACCAACCTTTTCTGCAATATTGACAATGGTTTATAGCGTCGTACGAACGTTTTCTTCACGCTTTTACCACGCTGGTGGCGCCCTTAACACGCTCTCAACTAATTTTCCGGCGCTATACAGCTTATTAAGGACGCCTATCCAGTGTGACGTAGCTATAAACGATATTGCACAACATGTAAATACCTTGACGTTCAATATATCTGAAAATATACCAGTGTACTTCTTGACGGCGGAAGGAAGGAAGGAAGAATATTCCCAGCCAAGGAATAAAAAAACATTGTAATGATATTTTCATCGTCTCTATGGATTACACATCAATCTATTCCTGGTCATTTAAATTCATTAGAAAACTCGAGAATAAAATAACAGATATTTACTCTTAATATGTCCAGGTTTGATAAGGAATGGTTGGTGAAATACACCCTTTACCCCCAAATTGCACAGAACATCGTCTGTATCAGAAATTGATTATCTGGCGTTCGATTTTGTTTTTTTGATATGATTGGTGAAATATACCCTTTTAGCCTACTACACTCAAATTCACAGTAGACATTGTCTACGTTCAAATTATACTAAAGTTTTGTTCCTTTTTTCTGATATTTTAGTCTCAATTGTAATCTAACATGTTTTCTACCACAGTCCCGTTCTATTGACGTTATGTTCAACCAATCAAAGCACGCGCAATGTAAGACCAGTTACTTGATAACTTTGGCTAATTGTGGGAAACTTAAAGTAGAGCAATATGACGGCTTCTTTGGGTCCTACTCGCCTAAAGTTTTTCATAAAAATAACGTCATTAAAACAGGACTCATGCCTTTTGAGATACAAAGGGACTCAAACCAACAATGCTTTGACTAGGCGAGTTGTCAATAACTTATCGTTCGGACATTTTATATTAACCGACGATAGAAATTAAAAAGAAAATAGTCTAACCATTTGATATTCCGTTTCTAAATAGAGATAAGGCGATTTCTTCAATTTACTGAGAGTATCAGCCTCCCCAATCTCTCTTCAATACAATTATGGTGTCGTTATCAGAGCGGCAGTGGACGGCTATCAAGATGAGCTGATGAGGACTCGGTTATCAGCCAGCACCACGCTTATCTCAGACTTAATCACCTATGAAATATGAATACATCAAACGATTGGGGGATTTAAAAAAAGTTTGATAAACTGAAGGGCCATGGCCAATCATAAGGGGAAAGCCGCATCAAAATTACACTTTGTAGGTGTAAGCGTCCGCGTTAGAGTACGTATACGAATAAACAAACGATAGGGAGGCTGCTTGTAATCGAGGTATGTTCACCCCATATCGATTATCAGTTACGTATATAACTGAATAATGAAAGTGGTCAACTTAATTGCATTGAAAGTTGCGTGCAAAACTTATAGCCGCTATACATGTTTGCAACCATACGCGACTGGTATTCGCTATAGTGTAAGGGTCCCTTTAGTGATATTAGTATACGTACGACAAGCCGACACGTCAGTAATTATTCTTTATATCTATTCAGATCTACTCAATGAAAATTGAAGAATCGCACGCAATGAGAGAATAAAACCAGAGTATTGGATAAATTTATAAGACGGAAGTGGGAAAACTAAGCAATAAGAAGAAAGCCAAGTACCATTTGAGTATCTCTGGCCGTCAACATACTATTCAAGTCAAATTATACTAAAGCAATCGAATCGATGTTCGCCTTTTAATTCAAGACGCTTCACATTGCCTGGAGACGGCGCTTTAAAAAGATCGTCAAATAACTTTCATGGAATCGAGAAAGTGAGAAAGTGGTCTTTTTCTTCAGTTGTTTCCGAGAGAGGAACAATTGCGCGTGTAGACATTAGTTCTGATGACTGTTGACATGTCTTGTGAAATATTTTCTGTGATAACACTCTGTTATTATTGAACGCTTTAACTCCTGTTTAACTTCAATTGGAATCAACTTTGAAAGGTATAATAACTTTTATTTGCTGATAAATTTGTCCTCGAGATCATTAAAGTTTTCATTTTATTGTCAGTTGTAATTGACCGTGTACACGGAGCATCGTTTATAAAATTATTCTCCAAATTTACTTTTAATTCTGCTTTTATATTGAACTTTTAAAGATAAAGAACTTTTGTTTTCATGCGTTTTACTTTTTCATCCTTTTATTGGAACTTTGAAATTTTAAGATCTTCTGTTTTAAGTGAAACATTCTTTTCAAAACTTATTGTCCTGGTTATATTGGAACTTTGTTAAAAAATCTTCTGTTTTTATGAGGTAGTTTCTTTTAAAATTTTCGTTCATCAAATTATTGTTCAAATTTAATTCCTGTTTGTATTTATAAGAACTTTAACGTTGATTATTATTTCTTGTAGAACCGGAAGTTAAGATTTTCATACTTGTTTTAAATCGAGAAAATAATCTATATCACAGTTAATTGATAGTCAATAATGTACAAATTAAAATTAATGAAATAGTCATTTTTTTGCAAATCATTTGTGGACACTTTGTAGACAGTAAATCTTTTGGCATTCATTGGACGAATGGTGCAAACAGAAGTCATAACTGGCTCCATTACATAAAAATCAAATATTAGGATCTGTATTCCAAAGGCTAACAGATACCTAGCTTAGAAATTGTGTTAGACGTACAGTCAGAATGATTGAATGAGGAGCCGGACCACCAGACCTGCTCTGGGGATGCTGAATGCCCCGAAACCCTTATAGGAAACCTACTCAATATCTTCTAATATTCATAACTGATATCTTCTTGTGTTTCAGGAATAAAATAAACAGCCACGATGTCAGTGGGGATGCTGAGAGCCATCAAATCCATCAAGGATCATCCATATACACAATATGTGGGATTAGGATTAGCTGGATTAATTAAAACAGAGGTTCAGGATGGATCCAAGAAATCCAAACTCCAGTTAATCAGATTGAGTGCGGCGGTGTGCGGTATCGAATTGTGTTATGCGGCCGAAACAGCATTTGTTAGCCCGGTGCTTCTCAAACTTGGTGTTCCCGTTGCATTGATGACGTTGGTTTGGTGCGTTAGTCCAATATTAGGCTTCTTTCTCGTTCCTTTAATGGGGTCTTTAAGTGATCGGTGTCCTTTTCAGATGGGACGTCGGCGTCCGTTCATATTGCTCATGTCCGCTGGCATAATTATAGGACTTTTGTTAGTGCCGAACGGGGAGAGTCTCGGCATCCTTTTGGGAGACACGGGGGATGAAATCCTTCATGGACATATTAACCGAAACTACAGTTCCAAAACGTCTACAGATTTTAATTCCTCGTACTCAAACTCTTCGGTGACTGACGACCCCCTTTTAGGATTTTCCCTGTCAAGTGATCACTTAAAAGGAATTCTCCTCACCATATTTGGTGTTGCTTTTCTGGATTTTAATTGTGACGCTTGTCAATCTCCTTGTCGAGCTTATTTATTGGATGTGACCATTCCGGAAGACCATTCGGCTGGATTGACTATGTTTACTGTGATGGCCGGGATCGGGGGATCAATCGGATATCTTATGGGTGGAGTGGATTGGAACGCAACAGAATTCGGAACCGCATTCGGTGGTCATATACGAGTTGTGTTCTTTTTAGTTCTAATAGTTTTTATTCTATGTGTTCTGTCGACCGTTACAAGTTTTCGTGAGCTGCCATTGAAAGAGCTCGACGTTACCAACGTAAGGCTTCAACATAAAAAGAAAAAGGTGGGAAAATCAAAGTACCGGAAATTCACCAATGAAAGTTCCGAGGACGAAGAAGAAGGCATTGGTGGTGAAGAAAAGACTTACGGTACGATTTCAGATCCCTTTCCCACTACAACAAAGGAGAAAGATTCAGTATTGGATATTACAAAGAACTTAGCTCCGTCAGTTCGGAAAGCCAGTTCTATGACGGAGGTGGATGCTCAGTATAGCAGTCAGTTGGAATTAGCAAATCCGGGAGATTCCGAAAGTGATCCGACGATTGAAATATCCACAGATATCACACTGAAGACTTATCTGAAATCCATAATTCATATGCCATGGTCTATGTTTATATTGTGTTTGACGAACCTGTTCTCCTGGAGTTCTTTAGTGTGTTACTCCCTGTATTTCACGGATTTTGTGGGCCAGAGTGTATTCCATGGTAATCCAAAAGCCCCGGTCGGAAGTGACTCGCATAATAGATACGACCACGGCGTGCGATTAGGATCTTTAGGAATGTCTTTGTATTCTTTCTCGTGCGCTTTATATTCTTTAGGTATCGATAGATTGGTCCGACGGTTTGGTAAGTTTCATTTTCCATTCTATAAAGTATCAGAGCCAGAGGCACGGGGAGTGGCTGGGGTTGAGGGTGGTGGGGTGGCGTCAGCGGAACTGAGGCCGACATGACACTAGCTCATTATGTTTTTCATTTTACTTTTGACTATTTTCCGTGGCAGTTACCAGAGCACCTAGTATTACTTGCCGACTAGGTTTTCAACTAGGTTTGGACACTTATATAACATAATATTATATAAGTATTCTTCCTTCGTTCGAATTTCATCATATCGTTGTACACAGGGAAAAATGATCGTGACAAACTAACCCCTCCACCCCCCAACCCATTGACCCGATGCTTCACACAAACTCCACTCCCCTAGAACAGTCACATCTTCACAATGTCAAGCTAAGACAAACTTTGTCTTATACCTTGACTACAATAGCCTTGTATCACGGAATGCATGGATTGGATTGGATTGTACGCCATCGTACGTGGTATTCAATAAAACAAGATTTATCTAATATTTCCCTGAAACCTCTGATTTGTTTTCTATAACAATAACCTTAATCTTTTCAGGGGCTAAGAATGTATATGTATATGGACAGCTAGCCTACTCCATTGGCATGATCATATTAGCAATAAGTCGACATAAAGTAGCGGTGATACTATTATCTCCTTCAGCTGGTATTATGTACGCGACGCTCTTCACTATGCCCTATCTTCTAGTCGCTCATTATCATACTCAAGGATTGGTAAGCTAGACTCATTTTCTATTGTCTCTAATTCTGATTAATATCAATATTATTATTCAGCTTTATATTCTGGAATAACAGAAAATTATAAGCCTTTTACACAAGTTTTCGCAATTTTTCATTGCGTGCGTCATTGGCAGCCATTGCAGATTATTTGATTAAAACAACGTACACTTAAAAATTGTGACATTTTAAGTACAAATAGTTGAAAGGACTGATCTAAATCAGAAGACCGTAAAGAAAACGATGCTTTATGGGCAGCATGGGTGGGTTATACCCCGGTTCAACTGCAACTACTTCCAAGGAGAGGAGGTCCAACCCGCTTTAGTCCACCATGAGCCCCTACTCACCTAGTTGAGCCACTGGTTATACCTGGGTAAAAAAACTGATACACTATAGGCCATCTACACTGTAAGAATTTTGACGTTAGAAGTACAACAAACATTATAGACAGTGCGTGAAATAAGAGCTAATTATAGGCCATTTACACTGTAAAATTTGACGTTGAAATCAGAGAGTGCGTCGATGGCATGGCAGCATAGGTAATGTCAGTCATAATACCAGGCCCTCACTACGTTATAAAGACAAGAAGATAAACCATTTTTCACAAGGATAGTAACTTCACGAGGATTCTTTCTACCAACTGGCGTTTCACGATGCTTTTACATGCCGACCGAGATTAAAACCCACGACCACCAATTGTTTTACGTTATAAAATACGCCTGTTTTCAGTAGGGTTGACTATAAAATATAATCTGACCTATGACATATATAGAATGACATGTGAAGATTGAATTACTTGCTCCCGGGTCAACTATTCTTCCCTTCAATTAGTAAAAGTACTAGGTAATTTACTAGTAATTACTTGCTTTTCTTCCGACTACAAATCAAATTTCTACAACAACTTCCTCGATACTTTCTCGATATTGAGTGGTTCAAATTGAATTGGTTGTATTTAAGAATTCAGATGCTTATTTCCAGTGTAAGATGAAACACCTTAGGTTAATCATTAACGGATTGGTTAATATTATTGAAGTGATGGTATTGACCAATCAGCTTTCTGGAACCTAACAGGCTACAGGATTTCTTCGAAATTCGAAATTATTTGACAACCGGTCCAAACTACGCTGAAACTTATTGAATTATAATAATTATAGATACTTTCTTATTCGATACTCTAACTGTCAAACTAGGTTATAGCTCGATACAATTGTAGTTTACTGTAATGACTAACTCCAAGAGATGTAGCCAAGGACCAGCTGGTGGTAGAAAGTGTCCTCATGAATCTAATTTGTTATCCTTGTATAAATTTGTTGTTTCTTTCTATCTTTCCTTACATTACGAGAATGGAGGAAAGTTCAATACCAAGAGGTTTGGAACAGTTGGTATAAACAATCCTCGTGTTGTTATTCATGTAAAAATGGTTGTATTTTTCTCTCATTCTTTACTCTATTTTTGTTTTTCAGTTTACGCCAAAAGAAACGAGTTTAGGAGACAAACATGATAAGCAACAAATCCGTGGTTTAGGGACTGACGTAGCTTTAGTTAGCTCCATGGTGTTTTTAGCTCAGTTTTTATTATCTATATGTGTCGGTAGTATCATAAACGCCGTTAAAAGTACAGTCGCTGTTGTTGCAGCTGCCGCCATTTTGAGTTTTTGTGGAGCTATATCGGCTACTCAAGTAGTATATTTAAATCTATGAGAAAAATGGTTTTGTTGTTTTGTGCTGAAGACATAATCGAGGTCATTAGTGGATGGAGGTTGACAGGTAGCCACATGTGTTGTGATTTTACTTGACGAGGTTCTACGAATTTTGAATTTATTATTTTTGTGAATAACCAGTTTCACCAGCCAAATGTGCTTGGCAGCCATAATAGTGACTATTAGCGGATCGAAGATGCCAGAGAGACATTTGGTGTTGTGATTTTGAATCGGTGAGGGTAGCATGAGATTTTGATGCTAAGATATATATGATATCATAGCGACCATGACTCTGTATTTTCATTAGTGACCGTTCGGTATTTTGAGCTACAAGAAAAGGGGCACATGGGTCCCCATGAATTTACTAGTGTCCATTCTGTGCTGTGAGTTACTATTATATATCGAGAGCCGAATGTATCAAGTCTTCAACACAGGAATAATTTTGCCATGATTTTAGTGCTATATAATGAAGTCACCGCTATGTGACTGGTGACCATTGTCATTTGATATAACCATTTAGTGTTGTCATAGTAGTTGTCTTTCCCGACCGTCAGCTGGTATTTTGCAACCAATCAGATACCAGGCCTCCTTCAATGTCGTTGATCTGGTACCAGAGAATGATCTCAATATGTATTCAAGACGAAACGAAAGAAATTTCACTTTTGATTACCGCTTAATATCGGACGCGTGTCGTTATAAGTAGGACTAGTTAGTGCTGACCTGAAACATACCCTGATGTACGTGGAATAAAACATCCCCAGGGTACTTGTCGATGCTCCCCTGCTCGTAACACGACAATTGTCCTAACTAACAGGCGTCAAATTATTAACATCTGACGCGTCTCTATTAGTAGGATTTACTAAAACTCTTCAAATTAATATCCGCTATTATGTACAGACTACAATAATTCTCACCATCAGACGCCAATCAGTAGCCTACCAATATTCTGGTTAATTTCAGTTATTACAATTAGAACGTTCAAACTATGCTAGACGTCTGGGTTGGTTTTAATGTATTTAATGTAATACTTTAATCAACTTCTTGAAATGTTCAATGAATCAAAGCAAGGGCGGACTGAGCAGCTCCGGACCTCCAGATCAATGGGTTACCTGGGGCGCCCATTATACGAAGACTCTCTCATCTTTGTCGTCCCCCCTATCCCCTCCCTCCCCTCCTATACTTAATTTGCTGGTCGAATTTGGGCTAGTATACTTTTCATTGGATCCGAAGAGACAAAATCTTTACTTTTAATCGGAGTCTATCCAGTGGTCCCACCCCTCAGTCCACCCCTCAGTCCACCCCTGAATCAAAAAACAGTTCTACTTCATGTGATGATACGACTCATCATAAACAGAACGTTTGGTCAGCAAGAATTAAGTCAACGCACTCGGGTCACTAAACGGTAAATATGATATAATAATAAGATAACATTCAGATTCTTTGAAGAGCCTCTCAATCCAACTGTCACAAAAGATGATTGTACATGGATTATGCGCATAGTATGTTTAATAAATGTTGATTATAATCTTGCCAAAAGCAATAATGCAAATAAAACTGCTAACAAGGCCGTCTGCAGTTTTCAAGAGAGAATATTATTGTCAAGTTTTTACTTTATGCGAGCTTTCAGATAGATGTGGTACCGTTAAGTTGTGTTAGCAATGCCTTAGATAGGGCGCTATTGTAATTGATTTTAAATTAACGAAATATAAGTAACATCTGCCTCTACACAGGTGCGGAGAAATCCCCATAAAACACGTCCTAGTTGTTCTGTCTTTACCCCAGCCCACAACTAGCTATTAAAGGCTGGAATAGAGACAGATTTTTCTGATAAGTAAAGAGCTATGAGTGTTCACAATTACATGTATACCACAAAAGCATGATTTTTGATGAACTTACAAAGTCAGAAAGCAGAACATAGTGCTATGATATAAAGGACCTGTTGAATGATGTGTTGTTAGGTTAGTTTAATATGCAATAATAATCCCGTAAAGTTATTTATTTATATAGAAGAGGACCTAGTTTAGTTAATAAATATATGTTATATTTCCATCTCTTGTCTTTTTTGATTGTGTGTATACGAAATAACATGCCTCATAGACTGGGTGGGATTGGAGAAGGGGGTCATATGGTTTTGTTACGAAAAAACCCCCTAACACCACCCTAGGACACAAACCACA